AAATGATGAAAATAAAACTTTTATTTCGTTCAAGGAAACCATGTCATTTGATGAAACAACACTATTGTTTTAAATAATATTTTTTAAAAGTTTCTCTCAAAATTTAGTAATTCGATTTGTTTAATTTGGATTTTCTTGGATTTTTTAATTTTTTTTTTTTTTGTTGGATTAATCATTATAATCATTATAACATTTTGTTAAAAATGTAAAAGTAATCATCACTGGTTCACTACATTACATCAATATTCATCGCATATCGAATGTTGTTTCAATATCTATCAACAAATTATCCAATAAACAACAAGTAAAAATTATATAACTATTATTTGGTGTTTGCTAGGTATGTTATAATATACTGTGAACACTATAAGGATACATTATATAAGCATGAATTTCAAGAACATCGTTGGAGTCATCAGAGTCACCGCGTGCGCGCTCGATCCGTCACGTTAAGCAACAGTTTAGTGCGGTCAGGACATGAACGGTGGCCGGTGTTTTTCTACCGCTTGGGATCGAAATTATCGCAGGAGGATTCATGAAAGTTTGGAATGTGTTGTTGACAACCTTCGATATCTACCCACATAGGAACAGTTGTAGATGTAACTGTTCTATGTGAGTTATATGACCTGTGTGAAGTTAGCACTGCACTTTTCGATTTTTGTATTTTTATTAATTGTGCCGCATTGTGCTTTTTTATTAATTGTGCCGTTTGTGCCATATTGTGCCGAAAACCGCAACTCAATAACTCAAAGCGTATTTCAGAAAATTAAAAAAAAACAAAATTTTTGCTAGCCCCGCCCTTCTTGAATTTTGAGATTTTCTTCATGGGCTGTATTATTTATTGTTTGTGCTGATTTGTGCCGCAAACGCGAGATCGATAACTACAAGAAAATAATAGAACTACAAGAAAATAATAGAAAAAAAAACAAAATTATGTCAGCCCCGCACTTCTGCCCAAATGAACCCAACTTTTTTTAATAGATTCCAGCTAATTTGTGCTGCGTTGTGCCGTCAAAAGAAATGCGATATTTCTTTCCATTCAACAGAAAAAAATTATTGAACTTGAAAGAAATAATAATAAATAAATTATTTCACAAAATATGTATCGGAATTCTGCTAGTTGTGCCTAGTTGTGCTCGGTGAAGACAACAATATGAATATGGCCAGAAATGTTGCGAAAAATATGATGGTTGAAGAAAAACAGGTGAAAAAGGATGGGGGTAAAAAAAATTCGACATTTTCGGATTTTCGAAAGTTGTGCCTGATTGTGCTTGAAGAGTGCAACAACTTTTTGTAATAACAAAATGTCGTCATATCGCTGGATTTTGCAGTACGACCACCTCAAAAAATCAGTTTTTAAGAATTTCAAACTTTAAATAGTAATAAGTTTCCAACCGTATGAGATAATTGACTTCTGCGAGTTGTGCCTAGTTGTGCTCGATGAGGACAACAATATGACGGCCAGAAATGCCGGGAACAATACGAGGGTTGGAGAAATACAGGTGAAAAGTAATGGGGGTAAAAAAAATTCGACATTTTCTAATTTTTGAAAGTTGTGCCAGATTTTGCTGAATGAGTACAACAACTCTTTCTAGTGGCAAAATGTCAGATCGTTTCGTGGAACAACCCTCTGTATATAACGGAATTTCAAACTTTAAATTGTAATAAGTTTCCAACCGTATGAGATAATCGACTTCTGCGAGTTGTATCTAGTTGTGCTCGGTAAGAACAACAAGATGACGGCCAGAAATGCCACGAAAAATACGAGGGTTGTACATGGATGTAGGAATATAAGGATGGAGTGTAATCCCGGGTGAAGCCACAGAGAGAGGGGGACGAGGTAAAAACTGTGCCTGATTTTGATTTGGTTTTTACTATGCGCAAGCGTAATAGTACCGTCTTCGCGTCCATAGGTCTGCTCTTTTCAGCTACACTGTTTTACTGGTGTCATAAATTAGAATGAGATAAATATATTTTATTTCACTTTAACTTATTGTATCAGTATAGCTGTGCAGTTGAAAAGAACAGACCACATGTTAGCGTTCACTAACATCTGAACACGTGTGAGGTTTGGTTAGCAAATAATGTCTTATTGTCTGTTGTTAATAAATCGGAGTAATGGTGCAGTGTTGTGTTCCTTTTTGCAAAAGCAGATCGGACTGCCAAAATTGGAAAAAACACACGCAAAATGAAAAAAATCATATTTCATAGGTAAGATAATTTTTGATAATGATTATGAACTGTAAATGAAAAACAGGCTGTTTTTAAATATTCTTCATAGTGTTCCAAAAGATGATACGCTTCGTAAATGTTAGTTTGATATATTACATATCAAATCAATATCGAATTCATCCCGCGTTTGCTCCCTGCACTTTAACGAAGAATCATTCATTAAAGTGGCTCTATATGTATAATTAAGCGGAATGCATTGCCAAAAGTAAGATCTGACTAATAATTCTTTTTATCAAGTATCTTATAAAACAATGTAAATGTTCAATCGTACTAATATATAATTGTATTTCAGTAGAAAGATGAAGTATCTTTAACTTCTATTAATATGGAAGTGAATAAGGAAAATATAAAAGGTATGTCATTATATATATCTTTATATAAGAATTCTTCCTATACTTGAATATAACAAATAAAAATCATTTTTGTAATACTATTATAATCATCATTACATGTGCATAAGAAAGTAATATCTTTTTTCTTATTGTAGTGGAATCAAAGGGGATAGATCTGCATGATAATGTTAATACTTAGGTGAGAGAAAATCACTTAAACCATTGACTGTAGATAAGGCGACAATGGTGTCACCTGAAATGATTTATGATTCTCCAGAAAAAAATAGACTAAGGAAAAGAATACTATATCTGGAATCAGAAAATAGTAATAAAATGAAAGTCATACAACAAAAATTACGAAGGAAAGAAAAAGAAGTCTTTTCTTTAAAAGAAATTTTGCATTCATTAAAGAGAAAGCAACTTTTAAATGAAACACAAGCGGAAATGATGGAAATACTAGGTGGCACAAATGGTGAAATTTTTAATAGATTATTAAAGTATAATAAGAACGAATCCATGCCTAAACAATATAATGCTAAGTTGCGTCAATTTGCGCTAACATTACATTATTATTCGCTTCGCGCATATCAATATGTCCGCGAAAAATTTAATAATTGCCACATGTAAAAACAATTTTATCGTGGTATCGTACAATAAATGGTGAACCAGGAATAAGCTTAAATGCTTTAAATGTGATAACGCAGCACGTAAAAAGTACAAATTATACTCTAATTGGGTCATTGATATTCAACGAAATAGCTATTCATCAACAAGTAGAATATGATAATGGCAAATTTAGCGATTATATTGATTTAGCACACATATAGCTCACATATAGCATGTGATCATAATATTGTTGCTAATGAAACTTTTCTTGTTGTGTGCTTAAATGGTGATTGGAAGATACTCATTGCTTACTATTTAGTAAAAGACCTTTCTGCTCACGAGAAATATATATTGTTTGTAGAGTGTTTAACAGCATTGCATGAAACTGGAATAAGAATTGTTTTCACAACTTATGATGGTACACCAACGAATTTTTCACTTTTTAAATATTTAGGCTGTGACTTAACAAAATCAATGTTATTGTGGACAAGTTTTGTTCATCCAATATCAAATGAAAAAGTTATGGTTTTTCTTGATCCATGCCATATGTTGAAATTGGAGACACCTTTGGAGACATGGGAAATCTTATAGATATGAATGGTAATATGATAAAATGGGAATATATTATTAGATTGCATAATATTCAAGAAAACGAAGGATTACGCTTAGGAAATAAGTTAAACAGTAGTTATATAAATTATTTTAAACAGAAAATGAAAGTACGTCTGGCTGCTCAACTTTTCAGTACATCTTTAGCACACTCACTTTTATTTTGTAAAAATACTTTAAAACTAGAAGACTTTAAGAAGTGTGCAGCAACTGCTAAATTTTTATTATTATTTAATAATTTATTTGACATTTTAAACTCAAAGAATTTAAGACAACATGGCTTAAAAAAGTTGCATCAGCTACTAATATAGAACTAATTAAAAAGAAATTTCAATATTACAAGGAATAGATTTCTCTTTGTTAAAAACTGAATGTGGAGAATTACTTATTACATCGCGGAGAAAAATCGGTTTCATAGGTTTTTTAATTTGTATGGAGAGCGCTTTAGGTTTATATGACGTGCTATGCGAAAATTCAAAATTATTAAAATATGTGCCTTACTATAAAATAAGTCAAGATCACATCGAATTACTTTTTTCATCATTTCGACGACATAGAGGATGTAACAATAATCCCACTGCTAGGCAGTTAAAAGCTGCTTTTAAGAAGATATTAGTGCACGCCGATGTAAAGAATGTTAATGCCGCTAATTGTATCTCATTAGAAGAAATTGCTATATTACACGTATTATCTGTCGGCAAAACACAGAACTCTATTAATGTTATTAACAAAAGTTGCCGTTTACATAAATTATATAGTGAGGCAACATCCCTTAATGATAATGTTGAATCAAATATATTACATAATTTTAATACTGTCCATGATTATATACTGCCCGACGCAGATTTTGGAATATTCTGAATACGTAATTGAGTATATTGCGGAATGTATTGTCATGCAACTGCAAAAAATGATATTCTGCGAACCGTGCAAAGATGCATTGATAAGAATTGATGGTACTAAAAATAATTTAGTTTCTACCAAAAGTTTTAGAGGTTTAGTACAACCTTCAGTAGACATTATACGCATATGCCAACAATGCGAGAAAGTATTTCGTCACGCTGTTAATTCTAACATACAATTAAACACAAATTATATTTGTTTTATTGTATTAGAATATTTGTTAAATACTGATATATTTAAACATCTCGAAAATTATACATATGATCAAATGATAATGGAAAATCATGTAATACATTTATTGCGAAACATATCTCAAAAATATGTTAAAATTAGGTTGCACCATTATGCGGCTACTATTAAAGATAAATCAAACAGCAACAGACAGTTTTTAAATAAATTAATATTATTTAAAGGTAATTAAAATATATATTTTTATTGTATTAATTTTTTTTCATTGTATTATTTTTCATTATATTTTTTTATTGTATCAATTTTATTTCATGTATGTTATTTCATAAATTTATCCATGTATTTCATAAATTTACCCATGTATGTTATTTCATAAATTTACCCAATAAGCAGAAGTTTGCAAATCGACGCATTAACCATCTTTAAGATATCTTTAATAGTTCTTAAAGAAAGGTCATCATGACATTTCTTAAAAACTCTTAAAGATATCTTAAAGAAGGCTAATGCGTCGATTTGAGAGCTTCTATTCACTAGATAGGAACAAAAAATCTATTTTTTCCATTATTATTTTATTAATACTTTATATTATATTTTTATCCTTACAAATTGCTTTCCACGATTTTATTATTGAATGTTTGCATATAGGGTGCGGCCTATAGATGCAAATTTTATTCTACATTTTCGACTGATTTTTACATTTAGAATAACTTTCTTGTATATAGAATATTCGTGTTAGGCCGAGGATTAGCCAAATTCTTTATTCGACAAATCTTTAACCTCGATTTTCTCGAAAACGAAGTTGCAATAAAAAAATGTTATTCTTTTTTACCTATTTTTGCATAGAATCGCCTCCTACCCACTATGTTATTAATTTTTCACGTATTATTCTGAATTATATATTCATGTTCTTAATACTTCGTTTATAATTGGCGGTATTGCGCATGAGTACAACTCAATCAATCAAATTCAGGCACAGTTTTAAAGATACCTCGTCCTTCAAATCACTCCCTTTGCCCATAAACTCAGCTTACGCTTTATCCTTATATTCCTAAATCCATGGGGTTGGAGAAATACAGGTGAAAAGTAATAGTGGTAATTAAAAATATAATTTAAATAAAAATATTTAGAATAAATTTGTACGGTTTAAAGAAAGTTATCATTGATAATTGTTTGGCCTTACAATGATCATGAAAATCGTTATTAAGGCCAACATAAGAATCTTAATAACTTAAATAGATCCCATATTTTTCGTTACATATTCTTATAGCTGACATTGAGATATTTTCGAAACACTAGTTACATACCTTTTTCCATAAGAATTTTCCGAGTAATGGGGTTTGAAAATTGCAATACCGCCGGCATTAGCATTAACCAAGGTATACCACGTGGAGGTTGCACGGTCGGATTTATACTTCTTATGTGCGTGTGTGTGCGTGTGTGTGTGTGTGCTTGGCGGGCGTGTTAGGTTTTATAAAAAAAAAGTAATCTTTCGCCATTATAAGAAAAAAAGATATTTTATATTGTTTAAATTTTTTGTTTTTATATTCTTTACTTTCTTTATTTATTACTTTTTATATTAATATTTAATATAAAATATATAATATTAAATAATATTCTTTGCGTGCTTGCAGGGCATATTTTGTTTTGTAAAAAAATTCTCTTTCCGTCACATATAAGGAAGTATTTGATAGTTTTTAATATATTCTTCCTATATTTTTTTACATTTTTTAATGTTTTTATATATTTTTTTATTTATTATTTTTATATTTTTTATATCTTATATATATTTTTTTTTCATCCTTTTCTATTTTGTGTGTGCTCTCCCCTCTTTCGCAGTAACATAAATTAATAAGTGCGGGTTAATTTGAAAATACTTTGTCTTATATTTAATACCTTTTATTAAGTCATTAAATTCTATCCATTGCGAAACTTGATAAGAATATGCTACGTAATGCCCATTTTTGTTATCGCCATAACGAGCTATTATGCCTCTTAAAATAAAAGTTTTTTCGTAAAATTTAATATCCGATGCAAAATCTGAAAGATAATATTCTTTTTGTATGCCATATTCCACCGGATCATATTCTATAAAGATTTGTGTACCAAATTTTATTCTTTGCATAAGTTGTTCACAGTATATAGATTTATTATTTGATATGCCTTCTGTTATGGCTCTTGATAACTCAGTGAATCCATATTTTTCAAGAATATTAACGCTAACTGGTATTAAGGCAGACTAACGTATAATGATATTGGAACATACGTTACAGTTTTTAGTTTCTACATAACTAAAAAATTTTACATACGCGCGGTGGTTTTACTAATAAAGCTTTACTAATAAAGATCAAACTGATTTCTCTCAATTTGTGGAATTAGCAAAATATATTATTCTGTTATCTCTCAGCGAAGAGATTGGAAAAGATAATGACGGAAATGACTCACCGGCGGAATTTGCTCGTATAACTCGTCACATAAGAGGCATCGAAGATGTATCGTTAGATGATAAGGTCGATACGAATGTAAGAAACGAAGAATGTGGTAAAATACAAGAATATAACATTGTATTGTGGTCGTATAACCTTCTTCAAGAAAGTCGCGAAATGGTAGCAGAAACTATAAATAAATGTGACATGGCAAATCCATATTAAAAATTGGACTGACTTAAAAATTTTTTTCGTTTTCGATGAAAAGATTATTTCTGCTGAGTATGTTTCAGCGAGTACTTTAATGGCTCCTGCACATAGGACGCGGTAATACCTGCCGCGCGGCGGAAGTTCGCGCAACAGTCAATCAATATGCTGTTTTCCGTAATAACCTTCTAGCTCTTACGTTCTGTGTGCAGGAGCCATAAGCGTGCAAAAGCATTTTTCGATCAATTCAGTCTAAACGACGTAAAACCTAAAACAGTAAAACGTCCCCTTATAGAAATATCATACTAAGAATCATTGATAATTACTTATTTTCAGTATTAAAAATACTAGATAATAAGTAATTATCAATGATTCTTAGTATGATATTTCTATAAGGGTCCCCTTAAAACTCTTAGGTAATCAGCCAAGAACTCTGCGTTGACGGTGGCGATGGTTATAAACGGCAAAATGACGAACTATTAGGTGAAAAAATCTATTCGTTTCCAAAAAAAACTTCTACATTAGTGCAGACTATAAAAGAAAATTAGAGTGAAAGAAAATATACTCGTGTTTTTTTTTTTCTTATTGCACTAATGCAAGGGTTCGTCAAAAATGAACAGATCTAATAATGTAAACAGACGATCAATTTTTTTCTGCAAACCACAGTGTTATTACTGAATGTAGTGCGTGTATGTCACATGTATCACAATTGTGGAAGTGTGGAAATGCTCCGGACACTATAGTTATTATAATATTTAATATGTACAAGTAGTTTTTTCAATCATATTTGGCATTAAGTCACAAAGCTAATTTCCTGTCAAAACGAGACGATTTGTCGTATTTATTTTTCGGTTATGTAAGAGTTATTTCGACAAAAGAAGAGGATACAGAGCATTTCACAAGTGTACAGAATAAATTGCAAGTTATTTTTCTTTAATCATGGTTTTTGCAAGAATTTTGAGCATAACATTCCTTGCTTCCAACATCATCAATCCAACATAGTCGCGCTGACTATCCAGAAGCCTTAAAAATACATGATTTTAAAAGATACAATAGTTTTCTGGTAACAAACAAGATTTTTAAATAACTGAATTTCGGAAAATTCCTAATGTGGTACAAATATAATTATCATTAATTAAAAAGTATGGGTGCTTTCCAATTGCTTAACACATCTTGACACATATGTACACAGAAATGCACAAAGTGTAATGTTGTGTACAATTCAATTGGAACAAAGTGTGTACTAATGTATACGTATGTCGGATAGAGTTAAGATTATTTTCCAACTGTGCTTATATTTTGATATTTTTTAATAATAAATAATAAAATCTAAATAATAAAAAAGATATTATCCACTTCACGTCGCAAATGCCAGTCTCTTTTCAAGCCGCTACGCTTATTAACTTTAATTTTCACTAGAAAACACTAGTTTACACAGCTGACTAGTAGCCCTCGAGTACGGATGTGTAGTGTTATGTCGACGATTACGACAATTGGAATGCAACTTGTGTCGCCGTGTGGATGAAAGTGTCTAGGGATATTGCAATTGGAAAGCACCCTATATTACTTCATAAGTATATTACTTTATAAGAGTGAACACTACGGTACAACTTCTGCCGCACCATGATCACAGTATTATAATCGAAATGATTACTTACTTAAATTTTTATAACGTTGCCGAAACGTCTTCAACGACATTCCGACTGCGTTACCTTGAAAAGGTGGAAGTGCAAGCGCTGCAGAAAGCACCGCGTTGCACATTCCGCAGTACTTTGAACGATCAGGTGATCACCGTTGTCGTCAAGCCATCCCCCTAATTAGAATTCGGGATAGTATAAGAGAACCGACAGCACGGGCAGGGGTTTCTTTACGTACTTACAAGGGACGTGACAGAACTGTCCCTCACTGATTTTGATGCGTTTTGGATATGTTGTAGAGCATCAAAAACTATTAGACACGTATATTTTTTATCGACCGAACTCGAGGTTTAGGGGTTGAAACAGCTCCTTGAGAAAAAAGATTTTTTCATTTTTATTGAATATTTCCTAAAATATAAGGTATTAAAAAAAATATTTTCTACAAAAGTTGTACAGTATTTAATACTCTTTGCAACGGTATATTCAATTTTTTTTAAATTGTCAAATTTTTTAACCCCCCTCCCCCCCCCAACTCGTTACTTTTGCAAAATTTTTAAGTTTTTGTAAGGACAAAAATTGTAGAGCATTTCATGCCAAATCCATCCATATATAATATTAGAAGTTGGTCTCCATTAAATTGTTGAGAAATGACGTGATAATATTGTACTACATATGTATATAGATGCCACGCTGTCCTACCCAGCGAGAAAAGTTACGTCGATTCGACGTCTACTAGACGTTTATATGAAACGTCTATCTACCCTCTATGTCTAATCTAGATTAAAATCTATATCGACCTAAAAACGGTCCACATTTAGACGTCTAATAGACCGTCATTTCGATGTCGATTCGACGTCTTTTCTACGTCGATCAATAAGTCATTTCTCACTAGATTGTTTCATAAAAATAACTAATTCCTAATTTTCTTTATGTCTTATAAACTACTAGAAACCGAAGATTGTCAAACACACACTAAAACTTTCGCGAATCCTGTCTCGAAAATTTCGAATTCGAAGTGGTCACATCCATCCTGACTGCGTTGCTTAACCTGACGATCGAGCGGCACGCGGTGTTCCAATAACTCCAATAATGTTCTTACAATTTATGCTTATAAAATGTATACTTGTTCACTATGTATAAGTGTTCAAAGTATATTATAATGTACCTAGCAAATACACGCGTTGATTCGCCTGTCTATTTTATTTAATATCTCTAAAGTTTATATAGTTATTTGTAAAATGACTTTGATCATTCCTTCCAGTTTAATGTTTTTCGAGTAATCTGACATTCCTGTCTTTATAATACTATAATTGAATCGGAAATCTAAAAAAAAAACTGATGTTTCCACTTAGAATAAATTTTTTATGCAAAACGCGCGCGATTTCAGTGAGAAATGACTTATTTATCGACGTCGAAAAGACGTCGAATCGACGTCGAAATCGTCAAATAGACATCAATTCGACGTCTTTTCGACGTCGATCGATAAGTCATTTCTCACTGGGATATTAGACGTCGATTCAGTATCGAATAGACGTCTAGAGAGGTTGTAAATAATCGACAAAATAAAATTCCGAAATTTTATCGAAAACTCTCTTTTAATGGTCAATATATTATGAATGGATTCTAAAACATTAGAATTTACTCAAAATAGAAGACATCTAAATTGCCATTTTTCTAGACATGCATTTAGACTAGACGTAACTTAGACTTCTCCGACGTCGGTTAGACGTCGAATCAACGTCTACGTTCTCGCTGGGTAGTAGATGGATACTGTAGGTAGATATATTGTGTAGTTATTTCTGTTTGGAACTGCTTGTGCGTATTTTATCATAGTACAGGATGTAAACTAATTAAGCCTCCCAGATAGCATAGAGATGAACAGAAGTTCCTAGAGAATTTATTTTAAAGAATAGATATAGAATTAGAAAAATGAATACCCGAAGAATTCTTGAAGAATTAACCACAGTAAGTTCGTCTTGAAATATTCCTTAGGACTTCATTATAGCGAATATTTTGCAACTTAATTCCTAGAACACTTTGAGAATTCATGAGGAATTAGAGTTAAGGCAGAGAACGAGACGTAAGCGTCGTAATCGTAGACGTAAAGTAAGGCAGAAAAAAACGTAAGCGTAAGGCTAATAACCTTTCATGATTTACGTTTACGTTTTTCTCTGCTTTATTTTACGTCTACGACTATGGCGCTTATGTCTCGTTCATCTGCTTTAGCTCTTACAAATGTTTTGTTTATAACAATTATTTTTTGCGCCTATATTCAGTACATGAATATATAATAATTAATAGTGAGTATATAATAATTAATTTACATATTTACATATAAATTGTTTGATTTATTGTTATTCGCAGTTATTTATATTTTGTGGAATTAATTATATAGTTTTATATAATAGGGCAAAGAGAGAGAATTGGTGTTAAAATAACTTTCGATATATAAAATTTTCACCTGTATCAATAATAAATATATTTATGCCAAGTATATTTTATCCTTAAGTTTGTATTCATGTTTCTAAAATCCATATATAGTTCTAACAAACTCAATCGCATTATTTGAAAGCCATTTATTTTTGGATTTTGAATTACATATTTGAAAGTGCGCTTTACTTACATTTGAAGCTCAGCTAGAACAGTT